GGGCATAAGTGATCCTGCTGCCTCAGCCTCTGAAGTAGCTGGGACTACAGACGCTTGCCCGCTGTAGAAAATTAGCCACCACGCCTGGCTAATTTTTCTATTTTTTTGTAGAGATGGGGTCTCGCTCTTGCTCACGTTGGTCTCGAACTCCTGACCTCAGCGATCCTCCAGCCTCGTCCACCCAGAATGTTAGGATTGTAGGCTGGCCTAGAATTTCATTTTATATACTGTTCTGCAACTTGTTTTTTTCTCATAGCAGTTCATCATAATCTTTCTTATGCTAATATATCTAAATCTATTTTGTTCTTTTGCCTTATTTTTAATATTTGTTTAGTATTCCATTATGTGGTTTTTTTGTTTTGTTTTGTTTTTTTGGTTTTTTTTTTATTCTGTTGCCCGAGCTAGAGTGCTGTGGCGTCTGCCTAGCTCACAGCAACCTCAAATTCCTGGACTCAAAGCAATCCTCCTGCCTCAGCCCCCAAAGTAGCTGAGACTACAGGTGCCTGTCACTGTGTCCAGCTAATTTTTCTATTTTTGGTAGAGACGGGGTCTCGCTCTTGCCCAGGCTGGTCTCGAACTCCTGTCCTCAAGCAATACTCCCCCCTTGACCTTGCAGAGTGCTAGGATTACAGGTGTGAGCCACTACACTGGGCCAAGACCCTCCTGTCTCTTAAAAAAAGAAAGAAATGTACTTGCCTAAAGATAGATGATCCCTTGAGGTCCTGTCCAGCTCTGAGGGCTATGATGCCAGGCATCTGTCCTGGGAAAAATTTGGACTGTATTGTTGCTGAGATCTTTTCTATTTCTAAGATTCTGTACTTCTAAATTATGGTTTGGGGCTACTAATTTCCATTTTAGATGAATTAAATTTAGAAAGGCAACAAAAAAATCAACCTTCCTTTCTCTCCTTGAAGCCTCCCTCTGCTCAGGCCTCACTGATCTGCCTCGTCTGAACTGTTGTGTGTCTGTTTTCGGTAATACCCAGGTTATCCCTCCATTGTGGCTTCCTGTGGTTAGTCTGTCTCCCTGCCAAGAGCAGACACTCTCATCACCTGCCATAGGGCTGGTCTTGTCTCTTTATCACACACTACGTGGCTCTCAGAGCCTTCTAAAGGGCTTTTGTGTCTCTTCTTGTTTTCTTCTCCCAGCACCTTTCTTGGGTAAAAAGAGTAGGCAGTGTTATTTTTACTTGACAGACTAGTAAACTGAGGCCCACAGAGGTGACACAACTTGTCCAGTGTCCCTCAGTAGGTTTTCAACAGAATGAGGAAACAGAACCAAGGTCTTATGTCTCCTCTTTTGCCCTCATTCCAGATGTTATGTCCTGTCCACCGCAGACGAGGTATTGACTTTGTCACTACGATCATCCAGGTGAGTGTCTGTGTTGTTGGGACGAGGAAGGGAGGAGGACCCACGCAGAGGCCTGAGGGGAGACTGCATCTGTCTGACAGAACTTTAGGCTTCCCACCTTTCTTCTCTGTCATCACTTTGCACCCTGAGCCTCTTCTATCCAAAAAGGCTGAGAACATTCAGATTGCTAAAAGAACCCTGTCTACTCAGGCTCTTGTTTCTCAGGGAAAGGTTCGGACATCCAAATGTGAGTGTCCAGGGTTACAGGATGGTAGTCCTGGTGAGGGACCACCAGGATTCCCATAGTGGGGGTCAGTAGGGCACGAGGGGGATTGGCCTGAGGTCAGTTTGCTCCGTGGTTAGAAATGATGTTTATAAGGCCAAAGTTTTAGGTTTGACCTCTCTCTGCCTTGATCCGCCACTCGCTATTTCTGCATAGCTGGCCCGTGAACATACGCCCCTGGCCTGACAGGACTTTGGAAAGAGTAGAGTTGGGCCCTGAAAGTTACAGCCCACTGACTGGTCCAGAGGTGTATTTCCACATGCACAGTGTGATTATTGCAGGTATCTTGGGGTGAGGGTGGGACGACGGGGGTTAAAGGTATGTGTATGTAAGCCTTTTGTTCCTTTAGAACAAACCCAGAGACAAAAAGCAAAATAGAAGATCCGGAGATTAACTCCATCCAGGACATTAAGAAAGGGCAGCTCTTGAGGGGCTACGTGAGGTCTGTCCAGCCACACGGCGTGCTCTTCGGGTGAGTAAGGTGGGGCCTCACGGCCTGGACCCAGACCCAAGCACCTTCCCTGGGCCTGTCTTGGTCTGGCATCCACGGCATCCCTCTTTGACCGAATATGAGGAGAGATTTTAAGAGTTTTAAAAATTCCAACTTTGTAAATACTTTTTAAAAAGTTTTGAATTACTAGTTTTTCTTTGGCATTTTGAATATGGCATTTCCATCGTCAGTTTTAAATAAATTTGAATGTTCTCTGATGTAGTGTTTGATCATAGTTTATAAATGTTCTGTGAAATCACCTAATGTCCACAACAGCAGACACTGCAGCCTTCTCTGCTACTGTTTCCTCATTTTCTCCTCCTCTTCCCAGCAGCTTGTGATTTACATATGGTGGTGCTACGACGTGGGGTAGAAACATATCCTCAGTCATGGCTTCATTATGCTTGATCATTTTTCCAGTTTACAAAGTCCACTTTGTCCTGCCGAGTGCCAAGACCTTATGTCTGTCGTAAATCCTTGTCGCAGTTTGGGTCCCTGTGAAGGGGGAGTCACTAGGCCTGGCTGGAATTCTGTTGTTGACTTTGTGACCACAGGACTCTTGCCTCTCTCCTTTCAGCCTCGGCCCCTCGGTTGTGGGTTTGGCCCAATACCCACATGTCTCCCAGTACAGCCCGTCCAAGAAAACCCTTTATAACAAATACCTCCCCGAAGGGAAGTTGCTCACAGCCAAGATCCTAAGGTAGGTGTCCTCTCTCTCGCTCTCACTCCCATATGAATCAAACCCCTTTCTCTGGGAGCCCTGGGAGGAGATTTTGAGGTAAACGGTAATGGAATGGCTTGGGTAGTGGTGAATGCCATAATTCAGGTGAATGAAAGACCTTTGCCTGGAGCCTTCTGCCTCAGCCCCTGAAAACAGATGTGGCAACTCATCTCTGCTGTTGGAGATGGAGGAGGGGGCATCACACCTGCCCCCTGTATTTTCTACTAAGCTTGGAGAAATGTGCAAATCATTCCTAAGAATACTGAACGGATTCCCAAGGCAGGTGGGGCAAGGCCCAGAACCATGGGCAGATCAGGAGAGAGAAGGCCCGGGCTGCCTGCGGTGCCCTCTGCTTTGCACGTTGTCTTCACTGCCCCCTCTCTTGTCCTGTCATAGCCTGAACCACCAGAAGAACCTGGTAGAGCTGTCGTTCCTCCCCAGCGACACCGGGAAGCCGGATGTGTTATCTGCTTCCATGGAACTGCCACTTTCAAAGCAAGAGGCGAGGAAAATAGAGGCTGAGGAGAGAGACCAAAAAGGAGAAGAGAAGAATCAGAAAAGGAAAGAGAAGAAGAGCCAAAAGGGGCAGGCAGAGGCACGGCTGTCCAACAAGGAGAAGACGCAGGGCAAGCGGCTGCGGACGCCCGCGAGTGAGCGGGTGAGCCCCTCGGGAGGGTTGTGCCTCACCCCGCCGGAAAAAGGAGCGTTGGTGAAGCCAGCCTGACCTCTTGGAGTGAGGGCAGCGAGCGTTGGGGGCTGGGCTCTGGTGGCACGAGAGGAGCAGAGGGAGGGTGTCGCCTGGGCTGTTGGAGGACACTCCTGGGCATTCACCCACCTGTCACCTTAGGAAAGAGTGAATAAGAAGGCAAAGAGAGCTCGTCTGTCAGAGGAGGATGACAGTGGCATGGAAGTGTATTATCGGGAAGGAGAAGAGGAGATGGAAGAGACGAATGTGCTGCCCAAGGTGAGGGACGAGGTTGAATGGAGCGGGGAGGCTGCCCTGGGCCTGGGAGGAGCTGGTCCGTCTTCAGCCCCATCCTCTTACCTCATCTCCTATGAAGTATGAACGTGAAGTGGGGGGACTGTCAATTTCCTCTCTTCGTTGTGGGCTCCTCGAGGGCAGGGACCCTGTTCACACAGAGAGCAGGCTGCATAAAATAAATTCTGTGAATGTTTATTGAGTGAAACTGAATTAAATTAGAGGTTCAGGCAGATAAAGAGGAGGCTTTAGCCTATCTTAGCCCACGTCCTCTGAAAAATGAGAATAAGACCTGAGCTGAGAGGACTGGGTATGGCCAGCTCACACCCGCCGGGCAGGGCTTCCCGGACTTCAGGTACTCGCATCCCTGCCGCCCTTAGAGTTTTTGTCATATCTCTGTCCCAGCTCTCCTGATGTTTTATGTGTTTATGAATACGTATATTTTAAAAGTTTCTTACCTAAGTAAATTTATTTACAGATAACACTGTTATGTTCCCGCTATAAAGCTTCTCCAGTGGGCTGGGGCCTAGCTGGCCTGTCTCTGGGCATGGCGGGGGGTCGTGCTCCTCTAGGTGGGCTGGGGCTGGGGATAGGGAGCAAGCTGAGCCACGTGCTTTCCTCAGCGCCTCTGTGGTCCTCCAGGAGAAGCCAACCAAGCCAGCAGAAGCTCCCCGGCTGCAGCTGCCCTCGGGCTTTGCTTGGAACGTGGGCCTAGACTCTCTGACCCCGGCCTTGCCACCTCGAGGAGAGAGCTCAGACAGTGAGGAGGACGAGAAGCCACACCAAGCCACGGTGCTGTATTTTCCAGGGCTTTGTCCTTTCTGCAGGGCCCCCTTGGTGCCAGTCTCCTGTGCTCTGTCCTAGCCTGGGTAGGGAGGGCGAGAGGTGGCGCCCAGTCCCAGGCCAGGGGGTATGTGCAGAGCCGTGGACTACCCTGCCAACTTGCAGCTTTCACCACAGACTTCCCCTGGGTTTGAGGAGCACATTATTCACTATTTTCTGCCTTCCGTAGCAGAAAAAGAAAAGCAAGAAGGAAAGGGATTTGGAGAAACAAAAGGCAGAGAAAGAGCTGTCCCGCGTTGAGGAGGCGCTGATGGATCCCAGGCGACAGCCGGAGTCAGCAGATGACTTTGACCGACTCGTGCTGAGCTCCCCCAACAGCTCCATCCTGTGGCTGCAGTACATGGCTTTCCACCTGCAGGCCACGGAGATCGAGAAGGCCCGTGCTGTGGCCGAGAGAGCCCTTAAGACCATCTCCTTCAGGTTAGGCTTTGCCTCCCCTGCCCCAGGGAGGAGCCTTCAGATGGGAAGCCCATGTCGCCCCAAGTGCTGGGCTGGCAGGGTTTGCCTCCTGTGGGTCATTTCCTCCCAGGCAGGCCGGCAGCAGTTTGGGTGGCTGCCACCAGGGGCCCGTGGGTTCCCAGGCTCTCTCTCATAGGTGTGGCCCTCTGTGAAACAGACCTGCTCATTTATATTTTACAGTCTTCACTGAAATAGCCACGGGTAACCTTTACAAGAGTCCCTACACTTAAGTAAGGTACCCAGTCTGGAGCAGAAATAGAATAGGGAAAACAACTCTCTATGTACCCAGGTGACAACCTTCTAGGTGGCCATTTTCCAGGCAGAGAGGAGTAAGTTTTCTGAAGCCTACTGAAGAGGGACGGCAGTCCTTTGCTTCATTCTTAGTTTTAAGAGAGAATCAGACTGAAGATTTTGCTTCCAGCCCAAACCTCAGGCCTATTTGAGATGTAGTAAGCTTTCTTCCCAGGAATGGAAGCAGAAACCAAGGGAGCCTCAGAGCCAGCAGTCGGCCTGGGAGGGTGGGGTGTTCCTGATGCTGTGTGACCTGCGGTAGGGACAGGCCTCTCAGCGCCTGCGCTCGGGGGTGGGATCTGAGCCCATGGATGGGGCCTGCGAGGAGGAGGTAGTTCATTGACATCCCCAGACGGGGCTGGGAGGCCTGTTGGGCTGAGTCTATGGAGCTCATGTGCTGACTGCTTTCCCTCTAGAGAAGAGCAGGAGAAGCTGAACGTGTGGGTGGCGCTGCTGAACCTAGAAAACATGTACGGCTCTCAGGAGTCCCTGAGCAAGGTCTTCGAGCGGGCCGTGCAGTACAACGAGCCTCTCAAAGTCTATCTGCACCTGGCTGACATCTATACCAAGTCAGAGAAGTTACAGGTAGGAGTCTGGGCCAGGTGGTCACCTGCCAAAGGGTCCTCAGCCTCTCGTGGATGGACTCCAGCAGTCACAGCAGCAGTAGTCTCAGAGGAGAACCCCGGATTCTGGGTCCAGTCCTGCCCCAGGCTTGCTACCTGACGTCTGCGCCCTGACTTCCTTATCTTCCAAGTGAGAGAAGTCATTTCTCCACGTCCACCATGGCGCTGTGGGGCTGATGTGAGGGAAGCAGTGGCTTTGGAAGTGAAGGGGTAGCGGACCCTGGTGTGTATGCCTTGGGCTGCTGGTGGTGCATTACAGACAAAGGGGACGTCCCAGCCCAGTGTCCCCTTTTCTGTCCCCTGTCTCTCCCTTGTCATCCTCACATCCTCCTAGTCTGGGACTCCCCTTGCTATGGGCGCAAGCATAGTGGGGAAACGCCCCATCGTTTGGTGCCTCCCTCCCTCCTCCTCTTGGGTCTCTGGAACGAGCCCTACATAGTGATTTAGGGTCTGTGAGCCCAAGTCTAGCTTCTTGTGAGCATCGCTGCCTGTCTTGGTTGTTGTCCCCTCTGTAGCATCACGCTCTCATCAGCTTACCTGTCTTTTCTCACAGGAAGCCGGTGAACTCTACAACCGGATGCTGAAGCGTTTCCGGCAGGAGAAAGCTGTGTGGATCAAATACGGCGCCTTTCTCCTGCGGAGGAGCCAGGCCGGGGCCAGTCACCGCGTGCTGCAGCGCGCCCTCGAGTGCCTGCCTAGCAAGGAGCGTGAGTGCCCATTCCCGGTTCCTGAGCACGTGGGGATGGGGGGGCTTCTCATCCAGGGGCGGCGCTGCTTCTCAGTTAGGAAAGCCTCGTGGAGAGTGCATAGCTATCTCTAGCATAACAACGCGTGTTACATTGCGTATGCTAGACTGCGAAAGATGGAGGAACGAAAAGCAATCGGCAGTAATTCTTTTGCCCCTGGGACCCTCCACCTTTTCTGGGCCCAGAGAGTAGGGTGTCTGCATCTGTGTATTTGGCCCTGAACCCACCCCACTGTCCTTTTTGGGCTTTGTCTCTTTTGTCATAACCTAGGTCTTGAGACCCAAGAGCAGGGAGTCAGACTCACTGCGTCCCTGCTGCACATCGTGTTGTGGTGAGGGAGTCTGTCTGCTTGTTGGGTCTCTGAGCATCCTCTCCCTGCAGACGTGGATGTGATTACCAAGTTTGCCCAGCTCGAGTTCCAGCTGGGGGATGCAGAGCGGGCCAAAGCCATTTTTGAGAACACGCTGAGCACCTACCCAAAGCGCACAGATGTCTGGTCGGTCTACATCGACATGACCATCAAGCACGGCAGCCAGAAGGAAGTCCGGTGAGAGGGGAAGACAGACGAAAGCTGAACTCCCCGGTGATGGTTGGGGGTGGGGTCATTGGCAAAGCCGATGATTTGTAGCCCCACAGCAGCTCCCAGCACCCCCAGGTCTCTTACTCAATGTAGAAAAACAGCTTTGGCGTGACACCCCCGGTGTAACGACATTCACTTTTCCAACTACTTTTTCTGCCCCAAAGGCCAGCCTCTGGTCTGTGTCTGGAACCATTAGTGGGAGGGAAACTTGGATTCCCTCCTCACTAACACTGTGCCTGGCTCTGGTCAGCGAGAACTTTCACAGGCGTAATCTCACTTGTCCCGGCATCCCCACAAGGCAGGGAGGGTTAGAGGTGGGTAGACTTGTCCTGAAAGAACAAGGGCCCCACCCACTCTCTTTAATAAGTTATAAGCTGAGCTTTTCTCACCGACCCATACCTCTTTGTGTGTCCCAGTCCAGTAGCTTTGTCCTGATTCACTGTGTGACTTTAGGCAAGTAAGTCCTTTAACGTCTCCAGGTGTCTGTCTGCTCTTCTGGAAGTGAGGGTGGTGGTGCCTCTCCCTGGGGCATCATGGGGGTTCATAATGGTAGTAAAAATAAAGGTAGAAGTGGGAATCCTGGATGACAGAGGCCTTGGCTCCAGAGCCCAAGAGCAGGTGGGTGAGTGCTAGCCAAGTGTGTGACCTGGGCCTGGGAGGTAAATGCTGCCCTGTTCCTCCTCACAGGGACATCTTTGAGCGGGTCATTCATCTGAGCCTGGTCCCCAAGAGAATGAAGTTCTTCTTCAAGCGCTACCTGGACTATGAGAAGCAGCATGGCACGGAGAAGGACGTGCAGGCGGTCAAGGCCAAGGCCCTGGAGTATGTGGAGGCCAAGAGCTCAGTACTGGAGGAATAGGGACAGGCTGGCTCCTCCAGGCTCGGTCAGCAGTGGGCCAGCCGCAGCTCAGTGCCTGGGCACTCGGAAACCTGTTGCCTGAGGACTCTATTCAAGTGCTGCTTTTTCTGCAGCATCCCTGGGGAATCCTGTCAGGGTGAAAAAGAATTCGAGGCTGCTTTTAATTCCTCTTTGCTTATTTTAAGTCCCAGTTTATAACATCCTTTCCCTGTTCTTGTGGCTGCTCAGTGGTTACAGGCAACAGCCCTGGGACTCCCATAAAAGCCGAGTGTCCCTCCTTCAGGGGAGTCCCCTGGGAAACAAGAGCGGATGGGCTGACTCCCAAGGATCTCGTGATCAGGGCCATTTTGTCCCTGGCAGGCTATCGGTCCAGCCAGAGGGGGCTGGTAGGGTTCAGGGAGTGGGTCCCCACCTACGATCTCAGAGTCTCTGGGCCTCCCTCAGCCTCAGCTCGGCGAGTGCTTTCACCCTGCAGTGGAGGCTGTGAGGCCGGGACAGCAGGACACAGCCCAGAAGGGAAAGTTGGGAAACCTAGGCTGCAGAGGACAGCCACAGGCATAGCTTAAACCGCTGATGATGTCTCAGCCCAGGCCACCTAAACTCTCTCCATCTGGTATATTCCAGAGTTCTTGGAGGGTAGCACAGGCCCAGCTCTTTGTTGAAGCCAGTTCTTTTTTGGCTTAGCTCTGAGGGAATTAAAAGTTTTCTCTGGCAGAGCCCTAAATGTCCCGAGAGCTTTTCCATGGGAAATGACTGAGTCATATGCCAGGAACGTTTTGGAGATGGTGGAGGTAGTAGTGGGGCAGGGGTGGGAGGAAGGAGGAGCTGGGGCTGGCCTGGGTAGTAGCACTGGGTTACACTAGCTAGCTCTGTGAGTGCAGGATCTTCTGAGGCTAGAAATTTCAAACTTCCTCTGAGCTTCCCTCTGAGAAAGGCCAGGCCTCATCTGTTCCCCAGACCAAATCAGACAATCAAATCCAAATGCAAAGAGATCAGCCCAGGGCCTTGTCCTGTGTGTGACACCTGGAGTTCTCTGTACTGCTGCCACCTCTGTGGCATTTTAGTCCCGTCCCCTCCCCTCCCACAGGATGTGGGGTTTGGGCCTGGCCCCGTGCCCACCAGCCTGCTGTCGCATGGCCCATTCAATCATGCAGACACCAAGCTGGTCCCTTATAGTAAGAAAAGCTTTATCAAAAATTCAAGTGTACAAAACAAGGCCAGAGGCATCCACCGAAGGGCAGCTTCCCAGTGGCGCACTGCTGAGCTGGGTGTCCCTGTGCAATTAGACACAAGTTAACTGCACAATGTACTGTGCAAGGAGCCTGCTGGTGACTTTCACTGTGACCTGGACCTGCCAGCTGGGGCTTCCCAGCTTGGAGTCCCAACGGTAAAAGATCGTCCACGTCATAGTGAATGAGAGACCAGTTCTGGGAAAGTCTTTTCCCCAAGCTGTTGACCAGGTTGGCTGGCGGGAACAGGAGGTGGAATTTCTTCAGGTCAGAGCTGACGACATTGTCTACTGGATCTCTCTGCACCCTGGATTGCCTTGTGTCCCTCTCCCCTGGCCTGTTTGCCCGAGAAGCCAGTTTAGGGGGAAAAAAATCCCCTTCGGATGCTGGTGTGAGCAGGCAGTGGGGTGTGGTTTTGGACCAAGCAGTGCAAAGCTCCCGGGGAGTGGACCGCTAGGAGGCCAGCAGGGCCATCTCCACATTGTCAGGGGCCGCGCCGTTGCCCGCCAGCCCCTGGGCCCACTTGTGCAGGCGGCTGTAGAGCGGGAGGCCCTGGTTCTCCCGGTACAGATAGACGCCGGTGATGGCGTTCCACTGTGGTCGTGGCTGTGTCCCTTCCACTGGGAAGTTGGCAACCAGCTCCTCGTCATCCTTGTTGAGCGCCACGAAGCCGAAGAAGCGTCGTACGTTGTTGGCAGCGAGCACGCGCGAGTGCACCTCCGCCGTGCGCTGGAACAGCTGGTCCTCGTTGGCGCGGTACTGCGCCCAGTAGGCCTCCTGGCGGTAGCTGAGTGGCGAGCAGTAATGCTTGAGGCACTTGGTCAGGAACACCAGCACTGCCACCACGCCAATGAGCAGCCACCCAAAGAGCTGGCCAGAGAATGGGCAGGGTTCAGGAGGGGTAAGGAGCTGCCCCAGCCTGCCCACCCCAGGGAGACGTGGCGGGAAGAGCAGATGCTGCCAGGGAAGCCAGCCCCTCTGGCTGCTGGTTCCTCATTCCCTTTAACTCGCACCTTCCCTTCCCCTGTTCTTCGACTTTGCCTCCTGCATTTCCTGCCACTCCTTCAACCCCAAGGGAGCCTCTCCCTCCAGCCATCATCTCGGCCCATCCAAATCCAGCTCAGCCTGCCAGGCTCAGATGCCACCTCCAGGAAGCCTTCACAGGCCCCTTTGGGAACAGTCCTGCCTTGCCTGAATCCCCCGTGGCCCGGTTCCTGCGACATCATCACTGTCTGCCTTGTTTGGAGGCCACCCGAGTGCCTGTCTCACACACGTGCGTGGCTATGAGCCTAGTGAGGGCGAGGGCAGTCAGGGTTGTCCTTGTTTCCCCATTCACTCCTGTACACAGGTCTGTGGGCATTCGAGCAGCATTAAATAAGTTTTATTGATAACCTTCCATCTCTGTTTCTCTGTCTGCTTTTGTTTCTTGTTTCTTATGCACCCGAGAGAAGAGACCTTTTAAAAAATCTCATGCTCCTCCTGTCTCTCCCTCAGCTTCTCTAACACTTCGGGCTCAGGTTTCTGCTGCTGCCCAGGTCTCTTCCCTTGCCTTCTGCCCCCAACCAACCTCCACTCCTTCAGAACTTGGCTAAGGCCGAGGCCAGGAGCAGGGCAGCAGTTGCCTCTTCCTGACTCTCAACACCTCCTCCTGACCCCAAGGCCTCCCTCGACATCAGCAGTGCTTGGGGCTGATTCAGTGCTGGCTTGGGCCCTTCTGGGCTGGGAAGGCATTCATCCCAGAGCCACCCGCGCCCCACTATCAACTCGTGGCCCATCCAGATGCATCTGAGGTGGCGTGAAGGGGCCATGCCTCGTATGGCTGGAGTAATGGGCTTATCTGTGATGGGGATCAAGGCTCAGTCTGAACCAGGAGAGTATTCCTTTAATGTTTAAAACTTTTTTTTTTTTTTAAAGACTCAATGTCTCACTCTGTCGCTCAGGCTGGAGTGCAGTGGCATGACAATAGCTTACTGCAGCCTTGAACTCCTGGGCTCAAGCGATCCTCTCACCTCAGCCTCCCAAGTAACTACAGGTGCATGCCACCATGCCTGGCTAAGTTTTTTTTTGTAGAGATGGGGTCTCTATGTTGCCCAGGCTGGTCTTGATCTCCTGGCCTCAAGCAATCCTCCCACCTCCCAAAGTGCTAGGATCATAGGCGTCAGCCACTGTGCCTATCTATCCAGCCTCTCTGATTTGGGACTGGCATTGACCCTTGCCCCGCCAAGCAGTAACCTGTAGGTTAACCAGCTCTAATCCCTGATGCCAATAATGTATTGCTTTCCCAGAAAACTCAGCCCCTGAGGACCAACTCCAGTTTTAACGCTGGGCCATCCCAGCACCTCCTGCCAGCCACCACCTTGGGAAGGAAGAGCTTCCCCTTTACAGCCCTTACCTGGGACTCATACTTAAGCCTGCGGCTGACCTCCTCCCGGAAGCCTGACAGGTTTGCAGGGCCCTCGCCGCAGGGGAACCTGGCCAGGATTTCAGTGGCGTGGGCTGGTGGGAAGCCTCCTTCTTCGGCTGTGAGTGAGGAGGGGTCCACGAACTCACTGAGAGCGCAGACGTAAGCCTCACCGCGCAGCAGGGAGATGACAGACCAGGTAACGGGGGCCACAGCCGCACGGCCCAGGATGGAGCTTAGAAGGAGGAAGTTGGGGGCAGCCGAGCAGTTCTTGGCCCTCCGGTACTGGCACTCGGCGACTAGGTTCCAGGTGTGGTTGTTGAGGATGATGCCGATGAGGAAGAGCGCCAGGGCGGGCACACCGATGGCTGTCAGCCCATACAGGTAGTTGCGGGCCGGCGAGCAGGGGCAGTGGAAGGCCACGACCGAGAACAGCTCCTGGCTGCCCACTGTGCCCAGCGCCACCAGCCCGTTGAAAATCATCACATCCTTGCTCTTGAAGAAGAGCGACAGGAAGCGGAAGTTCTCTGCGATCAGGGCAGCCATGGTGACTGGTCAGCTGGGGGACCGACTGCAGGAGAGGGGGCAGGAGGAGCGGGACTGATGGCTCCTGTGGGGCTAGGAAGGAGTGCGGGCTGGTGGACAGCTGAAGGCAGGGCACGGCCGGGCCATCCTAGCCCGACTGCAGCGGCCGGCCTGGGGCTTCCTCCTGTGGAACAGCAGATAAATGTTTGCCTCGGAAAACGGGCATTTGAGGAGGATGCTAGTGTGGCCAGGCTGGGAGAAAGGAAGGCACCCCAGGGACCCGGGGAACGACGGTCGCTGCTGTTCACTGAGCTGGTACCACGCGTTGGGCCCTTTACATCCTCGTTGAGCTATGACATCCCTGCTCTACACAAGAGACGGTGAGGCTTCCTGAGGGTGGGTGCCTTGCCAGGGTCCCGTATGAGTGGCAGAACCGAGGTTCGCGCTTGGGTCTAGCTGCCGCAAACACTTTTAGGTTCTTTTTGCCACCACGAACCTCTCTAGGGGGAGGGGCCAGGAACGCCCTGTGCTGTTAGGGGACGTGGGACACTGACGGGCTTTCCCTCTGGAGTCCAGGGTGGTGCTAATGCGCAGAAGGGTCTGGGACTGCTTGGAAGGTGCAGCCCCCGTGGGTGTCCTGGGGGACAAGGCACTCGACTGGATCCTGTGGTGGGGGCCGGGGTGGACACAGCAAGATGCCGGCACTCCTGGAGCTCACAAGGACCTTTTCGTTTGGGGGACCTCACAGTCTGAACTGGTCTAGGAGGCTCTGGCTTTCCACATACTTCATGACTTTTCTCTGGGCCTCAGTTTCCTCATCTGTGAACAAAAGGATAAATCCTTCTGTTCCTTGCTCTCTTCCCAGGGATGTTGGAGGGAAAGAAAAGGAATAAAAGATGCCTGCTAATCGTCCTGTGTGTGACACCCTCCCTCTCTCTCGCCTGTCAGGTCTTCAAGGTGGGGATGCTTCCCCAGCCTGCAGAGATGGGGGAACTAAGGCCTGCAGGGAATGAAGTGCCTTGAGGCCAAACATGGAGGTGTCCGGGCGGGACTCTGACCGCAACCCAGTAGCCCTGGGAAGTGGGCAGGGTGAGCCTGAGCTCAGTGAGTCCTCCGCTTCCTCTGTCTCCTACTCACCTTGCCGGGGCCACCTACGAGAGCCCTGCGAACGAACCTCCTCTTCCTCAGCCCTGACCCTTTTCCTCTCCAGCAGCTTCCCAGTGGACCCCATGCCACAGAGCCTGGGACCACCCAGCCCGCCAGCCACAGGAAGCTTTGATGAGAATGAATCTGGAGCCTGCTTGGCCTTGGTCTGGGCTGCAGCAGGCTGGCACCCTGCCAGGAAGTAGCTGTGGCCCCAGGCTCCTGCAAGTTGAGCCTCAACTCCCTTCCCAGGCTCCACTCACACAAGCCTGAGAGGCCAGGGTGTGGCCCCACATTCTTCTTCTCATCTGGTGGATGAAAAACAAAAATCCTCAGGCCAGAAGAAGCCAGGGAGTGGAGGGCTGGGTGGGCAGCAAACACGGGGGAGGATCTGCCCGTGTTCTTCCTGTGCTTCATCTCCACACCGCCCCTGCCGGTCTCTGCCAAGCCGGCCAGACGGGCAGCGCCATGTGGCCATGTGGGCTCCAGGAGGAGGAGGAGGAGGATCATGAGGAATGGGGGTGGGGGGAGGAGGGTCTGGGGGAGGAGGATAAGGAGCAGGGGGAGGAGGAAGATCACGAGGAGCAGTAGGGGTGGGGGAGGAGAACTAGAGACCCAGGAGGAGAAGGAGTCTGGCTCTTCCCCCACTTCTCAGCCCAGGGCTCCAGTCTAACTCCCTGGAAAAGGGCGTTTGTACTATTGCTGGGGATGAATGGGTTAAAGGCAGCCCCATCTCCCCTTCCTCTTCCCTTCTTGGCTTCTAGGCTCCTAATTAGCTCCCTGTGGGGCCCAAAGTGGGGCCCAAGATGCTGGAACAGGGTGAGTGTCGGGCAGAGGATGGACCAGACCATCTTCTGAGACTTCTGCCCCTGTTCCCCAGGCCAGGGCCGGCCACACCCAGACCCCCGAGCGAGCGGGACCTCCAGCATCAGTCAGGACTGGAGACAGGGGGCTGGGGGAGGGGTAGGACTCACCCTACCCAGAGTGGAGGCCACAGCTGGTGGGGGGGCCTCTCTGCCCAGGACAATCCTTCTGGGCAGCCTGGGACATGTGCCCCTGACACCTGGCGTGCCCCAGGGAGGACCCCTTCCTTACCTGGGGCCAGCTGCAGGCACCTGTGGTCTTGGCTTCCTCAGGGCTGGGCTCTCCAAGTGGCCTCCAGGACAGGCGGCATCGGGGCAGCTGCACCACCCAAAGTGCCTGCCACCCAGGCTCCCGGCTCCCTCCCACTTTTCTCTGCACAGGAGCTGCCGTTGGAGACCAGCGGGGCCTGGGGCCGGTGGCGTCTTCAGACGGACGAATTTAACTCCAGAAAGAGAGATGCAAACAGTGGGTTGGCGTGCGCGACAGCGGGTGGAAAAACTGCCTCACGGCGCCAGGCAGGGGAGGGCGGGCCGAGGGCGGCGCGAGAGGAGAGGAAATGGAGCTGCCTGTTCTGCAGCCGCTGCGTGTCCCACCGACCCGGCAGGCTCTGGGCTGCGCCCGGCCCTCCTCACCGTCCGCCCTGCCCCAGACCAACCTGGCTGGCTGCGCGCCAGTTTCAGGAGCACCCCCCTGCTTGACCCCGCCGGGCAGAAGCTCTTGAGGAGTCCCTGGCAGAGTCAGGGCAGAGGTGCCATCAGAATAATGCTGACCCCTGGCAGAATGCTTGAGGCCAGGGCCCCCTACCGTCTTCTGGCCCTTCTTCCCTCAGAGCCGGCCTGCCACTGACTGGACAAGCTGTCCCCAGAGCCAGCTCTTCCATCCATGGTTCGGCTAACTCCTGGGAGCCGCTTCCAATCTCTGCAGGGCGGATCATTGAATTCAGGAGTCCAGGGATCCTCTGAGGCCTGAGGCAGAGCTCTGTGGGTGGAAATTACGAGGAGGCGGGTTTCTGAAGGAAGCCCTGTAATAATCAGAGCTGCCCAGCCTGTCCCAAAAAGTGGTCATGAGCTCCCCATCTGTGGGAGTGTGCAAGCTGAGGCCGAAGAGTCACAGTCAGGAACGCTGAAGAGGAGAGTCCTAAGGACAGGCTAGGTGACCCCTAGCATTGGGGGAGAGGCCCCCCGGCTCTGTCAGCTCTGCGAGGCTTGTGGTTCCACGATGGCAGAACTGCTGAGTGACATGCTGGCCTCCCTGCACTGGGCTTGTCCACGCGTGGAAAGGAAGGGAAGGGGACCAGTGTGTGTCTGTTTTTTTTTTTATTATTTGTTTCTTTCAGATCACACCATGTGCCAAACATGGTCAAGGATCCTTCCTAAACGTTATCTCCCTTCATCCTCACCACAATCCTGAAAAACAGGTCTTTAATATCCTTGCACAGACAGACGCACAGATCAGAGAAGTTAGGTGACTTGCCATAGGTCCCACAGCGCTGGCGTTTGAACCCAGATGTGCCTGGCCCAAAGTTCTGCTCTTTCCTTCGCTTTGTGAAAGGCAGAAATTGATAGTAAAAAAATGTACTTTGTTTTGTGTGAAACAGAAACGGTTCTAAATTAAAAAAATGTGTTCTCTTTAATTTTAACTAATGCCATTTGCTTCTGTAACCGTGCTTGCTTTTAGTCGTTAGTCAAATATAGTTAATCAAAAAAAAAAAAAAACAGGGCGGGAGTAACTCCATGACAGGCTGAACTTCCTAGAGTAGGCCTAAGTCTCAGTCCCCCTCCCCAAACGCAGATCAGAACTGGCGCCTGTGCGAAAATTAAAAATCCTGAGGCTTGGGACCACCCAATCAGGGGTCAAAACAATCCTCCACTTTTAAAGGAACCAATGGACAAAAGGGGAAAGGGGATGGTGGGCTCAGCGTATCGTATGCCACCGGTGTGTCATGCGCAACCAAAAGTATAAAAGCTTGACTTTTACCCTGGGGCGGGGTCCTGGTTCATAGGGAGGCCACTGCGTTCGTGCTCTGGGACTTGGACCCTAGCTCGAGCTAGCAAATAAACTCCTTTGCCATTTGCATCCTCGGTGACTCTGCTTCTCTGTTCCTGGGGCTGAGGGGAACCGGTTCTTACATTTGTACCTCCCAATGCCTCTGAGCTTTCCCTTCCCACTGGACGCCCCCACCCACCAACACACACCTTGTTTTTGCTGACAGAATCCTCCCCACCTCCTGGAGGGACGCCCCCCTGAGCCCACCTTGGCTGACAGGGATGTGACCTCCCCCCCAGTAACTCAAGGGAGGGAGACTGGGCCTCAGGAGTGGGAGGAGGGAAGGCTGGATAAGGAAAGATGGGAACCATGACCAAGATCCAGATGAATTCTTAGATGGTGGGACATGTGTCTCAAAGACATCTGGGGGCAGTAAGAAGATTGTACCTCTGTTTCCTCCTCCTCGACAAAGATGGTGGCCTGAGTGTTTCTGTTCCTTATGTGTCCGCTCCACCCGGGGAAGGAGGAGGGGCCCTCAAGTTCAGAAATCGACTAGCACATTAGCCACCGCGTGCTGAGTGCCCACCCTGTGCCACGTGATTTTACACACAACCACTTCATGGGGAGGGGCTCTTATCCTCCTTGTGCGGATGAGGAAACTGAGGCATGGAAAATGAAGCAACTGGCCGAGGGACACAGTTTGTAGTTGGTAGAGACAGTGTCTGACCCAGTTCTGTCCCACTCTAGCTGTTTCCGCTCTAGCCAGCACCCTCCGCCCTCATTCCCACCCGGGGCAGAGCCTCCCAGCACTTTACAGCCCCCTCCCCGGGGCTGGGGTCTCAGAAAAATGGAGAGACCTTGGCGTCTGTTTCTAACTTCTCCAGCCCTGGGGATGGTCTGATTTGCCCCTGAGACCTGGAAGTGAGGCGGGATTAGGGTGGCCTCCCAGGACACCTCCACGGGAGGCCTTTTGTGTGTGGTGCTCGATAAACGTGCAGTCCCCCTGGACAACTGTTGAGTGACCTCCACAGTGACCACACGCCCTCCACATGGGCTTCTGCCACATGGACCTAGCTTATGGCATCTTGTCTCATCACCTGTCACACCAGGTGTGTCACAAAGGTGAGGCCGTGTGTCACGTCCTTATGGCCTGCCTTGGCCCACTCAGGAGACTCTGGCCACTGTGAGAGGGCCCCTCCTCCATGTGAGGGCTGCCGCCTCCTGCTCCGCGAGCCCTGAGCACAGGGAAGAGAGACCCTGAGAGTCTGGGGCAAGAGTGGCCCCTGGGGCAGGGACGTCTGCAGAAGCTGAGAGGAGATAGTGAACAAAAGATGAAGTCCCCGCTCCAGAAGTGGCCTGAGAGGTGCTGGGGAGGCGGGAGCCCTCTGTCCCTGAGCCTCCAAGTCAGTTCTGAACCCTTCTGAGGAACACTGCTCACGGCCTCGCTGCCCCGGGCCGTCCAGGGCGGTGTCACAACTGGAGCAGTGAGGTGCCCTTCCAGCTCCAAATTTCCTGCCTCTAACGCACAGGTGAGGTCCTGGGCGTGTGGCTCTGCTCCGGGCCTACTGCCCAGCACCTAAAGCCTTCGTTTGTCCGTCTGGTCTGAGAGTCTGGTGGCTGTGGGCTCAGACCCCCACCGCCTCCTCAGCCGGCCGGGCTCACACTTTGCTGAAGTAGATGGCCACCTCCTTGCGTGGGGGCCGGGGCCCGCCCCCCGCCCAGCCATTGCCCAGCAGCGGCTCCTCCTGGCCCAGCCGCAGGGGTGGTTTGCATTTGTGCCAGCTGGTGAGCAGCCTGTTCATGGTGCCCCGGTCCGTGATGCCGCGCAGCTTGTCCCTCTCCTCCTCTGCACCGTCCACGGGGCTGGCGGCAGCCGAGGCAGGGGGCGCTACAGCCAGGGCCCCGTGGGCATGACCCAGCTCCAGGTCGTGGTTCATGGCCTCGAAGAACTGCTGGATGCAGACCTTGGCAAACGCCTTGGCGTGCTCCGTGCACGTCTCGTCGAAGAGCTTGCGCTCGATGTCGATATAGTGGGACCAGTACTTGCTCTTGAGGAAGGCGGCCTGCGTGAAGCAGGGCCGCACGGAACGCACCATGAACGCCAGCAGCGTGGTCAGCAGCACGAAGGACCAGCCCAGCGCCTGCGGGCAGAGGAGAGAGGGTCAGCAGCGGGCACCAGCCTCCTGCCTCAGCCTGGCCAGGCCCCAAAGCACTCTCCATGCCAGGGCCTCTGGAGCAAAGGGCACAGACTGGGCAAGTGACTTTGCCTCTTGGCCTTCATTTCCTCATCTGTAAAATGGGCACAGAGATACCCCTCATGGAAACAAAATCCTGTGAGTAAAGCCCCCGCTGTGTTAACCGGGCACCCCATGCATAGGAGTTACGTGGGCAGACCCTGGAGTTAGGCTGCCTGGGCTTGAATCCTGTCACCCCTACTTACTGGTTGACCTGGAGCAAACCTGACTGCTCTGTGCCTCGCTTTCCCCACCTATAAAAGGGGACTGGTGATAGCACCTATCCCACAGGGTTGCTGTGAGGACTGAATGTGATAACGGAGCACGGTGCCTGGTGCGTAGAGCTCGGTGACTACCAGCCATCACTGCTGTGCCTCTTTCTTCAGGAAGCCACAGTGGCCCATCCTCCTCTGAGTCCTGTACCTCTCCATCAGCTCCTGGTACTGTCACCAGCACCAAGCGAGCACCTCCCCCATGTGGGCTCTGAGCTGGGCCTTCAGCGGTCACAGGGACAAATGAGACACACACTCACACTCTGCGCTGAGGAGCACTCGGTGCTTGGTGCTGGCTCCGCTCTGCCAGTGACTCACTGTGAGGCGGGGTGGGGGGCAGGACGCTCCCACAGCCTGCGCTCCAGGCTCAGGCCCCAGCTGCACAGAGAAGCGTCGGGAGATCAAGATGGGGGATGAGGGGCCGGGCAGGTCACTGCACAGCCGACATGGGGTGAGGCGCTGCAGAGCATGTGCGCAGGCTGGAGGCACCCCGTGCTGCCTGAGGGGTGAGTGCACGCCTGGTGGGGCTGGATCTTCTGATGTTTCAAGTGAAACTGGAAATCTGATCTTTATGGAAAATTTCTGGTGTTTAGACGATGCCTACTGATTCTAAAGCCGAATTTAGAATTCAGTCTCTGAAGGCCAAATGAAACATGTCTATGGGCCAGGCAGCCTGCGGCCTCTGGGGCCCTTTTAGCTTATGATGCGGCTGTTTTAGGGTCGGGTAGAGGGACAGTTGCCAAGGCCCTGAGGCCTGGGGTGACGGCCATAGGAGAGGAGGCGCAGGTTTGGGAGCGAAGGAAGCGCGTTCAGTTTGCACACTCGGCGTGAGATTCACCAGGGCACCTGGGTGCGCTACAGGCCTCGCGGGAGACAGGCCCCGGCTGGAGAGGGGGAGCCAGAGGTGTCGGACTTGCCCGGGCAGAGTGTGCAGCTTCTCCAGCCGTTACAGGGCAGGCCAGCCCCTGTCCCCTCTCCCTGACAAGCGCCTGGTCCACCGGCTGTGGGACATGCTGCCTGGGTGGCCCTCCCCACCCCTCACTGACTGGAGGGGAGGCCTGAGGGGCTCATCGGGTGAGGGCTGAGGACCTAGGATGTGGGATGGGGCTGGGGAGGACCCGCCTTTGGTCGTGTCCCAGCAGTGCACGGCCCTCACCCACACGCACCCTTGCAGGGCACCGGGACCCTCACTCGCATCCCTCAGCAGGGAGGCACCAGCTGGGGGCATTTGCCAGGGAAATGTACCCAAATGGCCCAGCCACCCACTGGCCTCACGGCTGCCGAGGCCTGGAAGAGGGAACGGATGCAAATCCCCCAGCTCCGAGCTCAGAGGGGAGGACGGAGGATATGGGGTCCACTCCGGGGACCTTAGGACAGGGACAGGCCTGCTCTCGGGAAGCCTACAGACAGGGGGCCACAGCACTTCCCCAGACGGCTCTGCCTTCATTCTCCATGGGGAAGACGTGCCCCACCCCTTGGGGCTCCTTGGAGAGGGAGCCCCATCTTGAGAAGTGGGGGGACAGGGCCCTCCCAGAGGGACGCTGCTCTGTGGGGGCGACTCAGCCCGAGACCGTGTGGGCCCCTCACCTGGGAGATGCAGCGCAGGTAGCGCACGGCCACCTCACGAGCCAGCAGCCAGTCGCCGTCGTAGATCTCAGGGCAGGGCACCCGGGCCAGCAGGCGGGCGAGCTCAGGGGCGGGCAGGCCGGGCGCCAGGCTGCCGTTGCCCAGCGCGGCCACGGGCACGGCAGTGCAGAAGGCACAGAGGAAGCACTTGCCGTCAAGCAGCGTGACGGCCACCCAGACGACGGGCGCGATGAGGGCGCGCTGGGCCATGGAGCAGAACATGTAGCGCAGCACGGCGGGGTCCTTGGCGCGGTGGCCCGGCGGCCGCTTCCACTCTTCAGCCAGCATGGACACGTTGTTGTTCAAGACCAGGCCGAGCAGGAAGAGCACCAGGGGTGGCGCCAGCAGGATGCCCGCGCTGTAGGCTGCGTTGTAGCCCGGCAGGCAGGGGCAGTTGAAGTCGAAGGCCGAGTACATTTGGGCACTGGCCAGCGCCATGATGCCGCAGATGCCGTTCATGAAGGACTCCTGGTTGGACTGCAGGAACTGGAAGATCATCCGGAACTTGTCCATCGTGCCCCCCACGGGGCCCCCGTGGCCCCTTGCCACCTCACCGCTGCCTCAGAGGTAGCCCGGGCGGCCCACCCTGCCCGCCACCTGCCCACCTCATGACTCCGGCCCTCCTGGCTGGCACGGGCAGAGCTCAGGACAGCGGCTGAGGTCACTGTGGCTTTGAGGAAGCTTCTGGTCAGGTGCCGGCCGAGAGGGCACAGCTTGGCCAATCCTGTGGGTGCAGCCGGGGTTGCGCCCTCCCTTCCCCTCCGGGGCTCCTCTCTCTCCACAGCCGCTTTTGCCTCTGGTGCTAGGAAACCGTGAGGGCCACACCTAACAGGGACCAGCTCTCTGGGAGTGTGGGAGGACGGAGGGAGGGAGGGAGAGGACGGCCTTGAACACAGGCTGGGAAGATACGTCTCCAGCACGGCTGGAGTTTGGAGAGTCCAGGCTGCTGCAGGGGCCTGAGCTTCTGACCTTGTCCCCTGGGCTGCCAGGGAGCATGTCGCCCACCCTCCTTCCCTTCCCGGTGGGTCTTTCCTCCCTGTGGCATCAGGATCCCAGAGGGTCCCTGCATCAGACGATGGTGGTACGGTGCTGCGGTGACGCTAGTGCTGCTGGTGCTGGGTACTGGTCACAGTGGGGGTGGTGTGAACGCAGACGTGGCACAGGGTAAAATGCCTGGGCTTTGGCGTCAGGAGACTTGGCCTTGACAGGTTGCCCGGGCAGGGAGCTGCAGGCTGGCAGTGCAATGCCGGTGACCCGCGTCCGCCTGCCTGTGTCTGTGTGTTTGTGGGCTGGGGATGGCAAACCCTTCCTGGCTCTACCTCCTACCTCTGCTCCCCCTGATCAAAACATAACAGGGGAGGTTCATACCTGGAGCTTGGGCCTCCAGAGCATCTGGAACCAGGCAGGGGGTGGGGGGAACCGTTGGGAGGGTGGCCGTAAAGGGCTCCCTTGGATGCCTGCAGCTCTCCCAGGAGGGCGGGTCAGCTCCAGCCCTTGGGTCAGGTGGCTCCTGTCTGGGCAAAGGGCTGGGGCTGCGGCAGAAGCAGACCCCGGATAGGACGTCTCTGTGGGGCATCTCCATGTGTGTGCCCATGTGTGAGCTCACTGTGGCTTTGGGCCTCTGTGTCTGTGTGCCACGTGTGTGTGTACCCACTTCAGTGGTCTTTGTGTCTGGGCGTCCCTTGTACGACTGATAAGAACCAGCATTGACCAAGGCTCGCCCTGTGTGGAACCCTCGGCCAGGCACTTTACGTGCATCTCCTCGTGTGACCCTCCTGCAGTCCTGTGGGACGGGTACTAGTGTCCCCATTTCGTGGAGGTGGAGACTGAGGCTCAGAGACATTAAGTCATTAGCTGCAGGTTACCCAGCTTGGAGTGGAGGAGTGCAATAGGCTGGTCCTCTCATGGGGGTGGGAGCAGGAGGGGTCGGGAAGTTTTTTTGGCTTTTCTCTTCCGGTTGAATCAGGTTCTCCTGTTCTACTAGTGCAGGTGGAAACTCCAGTGTGGCATGAAAACAGGATGCAGGTGGGGAAGGATATTTCGTCCCTCAGCTGCCAGGCTGGGCCTGGGGCCCCTGAAGCCCCTAGGCAGGTGGCCCCTGGAGGATACTTGGCAGGTGCTCCCCAGGGGGACACTGATAGGTGGACAGCGGGATGAGGGAGACCCAGCAAAGGAGGTGACTGTCCTTGGACGTCTACTGCAGCAACACGTGCCTGTTCCACGAGGGGTCCGAGCTGCTGCGGAGCTTGACACACAGCCCCCAGTGTGGTGGGTGGGGCTGGGCTGGGCCTGGGCCGGTGCAGGAAACCAGGAGGGACGGCTGCAGGGGGCCACCTGGAATCTCTGCCTTGTCTACTGCACACGCTCCCTGCTTGTAGATGACGTGCCCTTCTAGTGCTGCCCACGCTGGCTGCAGGGTGCCTGCTCTAACCTCACATACGCGCTCTGCAAATGCTAACTGCAGTGTTGTTTTAGAATACTTGATATAACACGGTTTGATTGGATTCTCACCCATTATTCTTAGTACCATAAGAGTTTTGGTTACAGTTGTCACTGAGAGTAAAGGACGAGCGTTAGGGTCTTCAGATACCAA